ATGTGGGAGACCAGATGGAGTTCCTGGCTCCTGGCTTCAGCCTGGCCCAGATATGACCATTGCTGCCATTTGGGTAGTGAACCAACAGGACAGAAGCACTCTCTCGCTCTCTCTCGCTCTCTCCTTCCCTGTCCCCCTCTGTGTCATTCTGACTGTCAAATAAATAAATAATTTAAAAAAAATAAGGACTAGCGGCCAGAGCCACAGCTCACTAGGCTAATCCTCTGCCTGCGGTGCCAGCACCCTGGATTCTAGTCCCAGTTGTTCCTCTTCCAGTCCAGCACTCTGCTGTGGCCCAGGAAGGCAGTGGAGGATGGGCCCAAGTTCTTGGGCTCTGCACTCGTATGGGAGACCAGGAGGAAGCACCCGGCTCCTGGCTTCGGATCAGCGCAGCGCGCCGGCTGTAGCAGCCATTTGGGGGTGAACCAATGGAAGGAAGACCTTTCTGTCTCTCTCTCTCACACACACTGTCTAACTCTGCCTGTCAAAAAATAAAATAAAATAAAATAAAATAAAATAAAATAAAATAAAATAAAATAAAGGACTAGCTTCACTTGCAATGTTATTTTCCGCAAAGGCTTGCAAGTGATCCAAATCTTTTCCTTCCTCCCATCATTTAGAAATCAAATATGAAAACTGTAAAAGTAAACCAACTGATGTTGAAAATGCAAAACAGATGGGGCAGCGCTGTGGTATAGCGGGTAAAGCCGCTGCCTGCAGTGCCAGCATTCCATATGGGTGCCGGTTCAAGTCCTGGCTGCTCCACTTCCAATCCAGCTATGGCTATGGCGTGGGAAGGCAGTAAAAGATGGCCCAAGTCCTTGGGCCCCTGCACCAGTGTGAGAGACCTGGAAGAGGCTCCTGGCTCCTGGCTTCAGATCGGCACAGCTCCAGCCATTGCAGCCAACTGGGGAGTGAACCAATGATGGAAGACCCCTCTCTCTCTCTCTCTCTCTGTGTAACTCTTTCAAATAAATAAATAAATCTTAAAAAATTTATTCATAGGAAAACCATATACTTTTTTTATAAACAGCATGACATCAAATGCCAAAGGCAAAAGCTTGCTTACATGATTATTTAACAGTAAACATTAAATGTTAATATATTTAATAATATACTAGTATAAAACTTTTTTTAAAGATTTATTTATTGGGGCCAGTGTTGTGGCATAGCAGGTAAAGCCACCGTCTGCAGTGTCAACATCCCATATAGGTGATGGTTCTAGTCCTGGCTGCTCCACTTCCAATCCAGCTTTCTGCTATGGCCTGGGAAAGCAGTGGAAGATGGCCTAAGTCCTTAAGATCCTGCACCTGCGTGGGAGACCTGAAAGAAGCTCCTGGCTCATGGTTTCAGATTGGCACAGCTCTGACCATTGGGGTCATTTGGGGAGTGAACCAGCAGATGCATGACCTCTCTCTGCCTCTGCCTCTCTAACTCTGCATTTCAAATATATAAATAAATCTTAAAAAATTATTGATGTATTTGAAAGGCAGAGTTACAGAGAGAAAGGGCTTTTATCCACTGGTTCACTCCCCAAATGGCTGTAATGGCCAGGGCTGGGCCAGGCTGAAACTAAGAGCCAGGAAGTTCTTCTGGGTCTACCACATGGATGCAGGGGCCCAAGCAGTTGGGCCATCTTCTATTGCTTTCCCAGGCCTTAAGCAGAGAGCTGGATCGGAAGTGGAGTGCCGAGACTTGAACTGGTTCCTATGTGGGATGCCAGTGCTACAGGCAGAGGTTTAACATACTACGCTACAGAGCTGGCCCCTAAAACATTTTCTTCAATTTATTTATATCATATAAAAATAAAAATGATTAAAATGCCTAAGGAGGGGGCTGGAGCCGTGAATCAGCCCAGCTCTGGCTGTTGCAGCCATTTGGATAGTGAACCAGTGGATGGACGACCTTTCTCTCTGTCTCTCCCTAACTCTACCTCTCAAATAAATAAATAAAATCTTTTTTAAAAACAATGCCTAAGGAGGTTTTCAGGATTATATATGTATTACTGGGCAACAAAAGCATAGGACAAAAAAGATGGGGACTTAAACTACTCCATGACTTAATGGTATTACGTTTATTTCCAGGAGACATGAGGGAGTTCTCAATTTCATCTATTGAAACTCGACTTTCATTTTCATTTTCGTCAAGCATTTTGTCTATCATTTACTCTTTTTTTTTTAAGCTTTACCACTACGCCATAGCACAGGCCCCATCATTAACTCTTTAATTTTTTGGTTTACCTAATATCTTAGTTATACGTAACTTTATATATTTCGTGTTTCTGAATATACTTGTAAATGTTAGACTATTTACAGATAGGCACCAATTATCTTTAATAGGAAAGCTTTAATACAAATAAACATTCTACAAAACTGACAAATTTAACTGGTCTTCCCATCTCTAGTTTTTTGCATTCATATCACACCCTAAGTGTCTAGACCACCCTGTGTCTACTAAATAGTACTCTTATGAGTCCTTCAAATGTTTCTACACCTTAGTAGTTGCATAAATACTACTCCAGAGGGCTTAGTATGATTTCCGTATCACAATTCAAATCATATTTTAAAATATAAAAAGAACAGTTTAGAAGAAATATGACTCCTTGGGGCTGGCATTGTTGTGTAGCTGGTTAAGACAGAGCCTGCAATGCTGGCAAGCCATGTGGTTCTGGTCCCGGCTGTTCCACTTTCCATTCAGCTCCCTGCTAATGCACCTAGAAAGGCAGTGGAAAATGGCCTAAGACCCTGGGCCCCTGTACCCATGTAGGAGACCTGGATCCTGGTTTCAGCCTAGCCCAACCACAGCCACTGCAGCTATCTGGGGAGTGAGCCAGCGAATGGAAGCTTCTCCCTGCTTCTCTGTAACTCTGCCTTTCAAATAAAATAAATAAATCCTAAAACAAACAAAAAAAGATGACTCCTAGCCCTTCCTCTTTCACCCAAAGTCAGTTCTCACCTATTTCAACCATCAGCACTATGGTATTCAAAAAGATGAGGAAGATGATGAAGTTCCTGAAGAGAGGACCTGTTTCCTCTTAAGGAAACATACAGAGTGGAATCCTTCTTGACTCACACAGCTGAAATATTAAGGGCAAGAATATTAGTGAGAATGAGAAGAAAATGAAGTTTGGGGAAGAGGAAAATAAGTCATCAGGCAGATGATGAAAAGCCGTGGATAAAAATGAATGACACCAAAGGATACTCTCAAGGACCCATCCAGCCCACAGGGAGAGAGGCGGCTTCTGACTGCAGCGCACATGAAGCCTGCTCAACATTCTCTGGGCATGGGAAATCCGTCCCATGTGTTGAGGCTTTATGGAGAAGCGCACTAGCTGGTGTTGATCGCCCAACATAAGTTTCTTCTGACGAGAAGGATCTATATAATAAAATTTTAGAAAGCATTGTGGACAAACACAGTAAAGGCTGTGGGGGCTATGGAGAGCAGGTAGGGATATCAGTCAGATAATACGCCCCAGTGCTGCTGTGTTCACTTGGAGAGCTGACTTAATACTTATGCCCAACACCATCTATACCCATAAATAAAAGCAGCAGGTTCAGTCCTCAGTTTTAAGTCTTTGGTAGAAACTTTTCCAAGTCAACCAAGGCTGACAGCTATCCTATGCCTAAGAGTGGCAAGGGTTCTTTCACCTAGATTGAAAAAGTTTTATGTGTAAAGTCCTTATTTTATCAAATTTGGTGTTAATTCCAAACCAACGAATAAAGCAACCAAACCAACCTCCCCTGAATTTTCCACCCTTAAATTTGCCTCCCTGCTTCCCATTCTTTGCAGGATGTGGCTAGGAATCTTAAATTAGACATAGCAGAAAAACAAGCTGCTGACCAAGTAACTCCCGGATAGTGTGCCTCGGCACCGCTTGGGTCAAGCCTTGCAAATGCTCAATGAGAGAGAAAGTGTCAATCAGACGTGACCGAATGGCATCAGCTCGGGGCAGTTGCACGTGCCCTTTTTTGTGATCAGTAGCCATGTCTGTTAAAAAAAAAAAAAAAAAAAAAGGAAGAATCAAGAGTCATTTTATTCTTAGAGCTGCAACAGGATTCAAGCTATTTTGGTCCTCTTCCCTTCTAAGAGACCCTAAAGAGTCCCTAACTGGGAATTACGGGCAGTCGGGGAAACAAACTACAACATGATTCAAGGCTGTCGGAAACAAAGCGGGAGGATACTGCGCAGTCGACCAAGAGGCCAGGCGTCTTCACGTGGGGACAGCATTTGTAATTAAACACTCAATTCTAAGAAACCTTCAAAATAAAAGCGGGAACTCCGAGGCTGGACAAAGAATCCCTGGCCCAGCTTCCACTGAGGGACTTGGGCAATGAGGTGAGGCGCAGAGGAGGCCTGGCCTGGCTGCCCCCGAAGGAAAAAACCCACTTAAGAGGAACTGGACAAAATGCAACAGCCTCACATTTGGAAAACGTTGTCCCGTGACAACTGTGCCCACCCCAGCGTTCCCCACGAGCCAGCTCCTTCTCCCCTCAATTCTCCACGCTGGGCCTCACCTCAGCCCAGGCTCTCTTCCCGCCCACTCAGCCCTGACTTCACTCCTCCGCCTCCAGCACGCAGGCCGAGCTCAGGGACGGTCCCCAGGCCCGCAGCTCCCCATTTCCAGCCCCTCCTCGCCCGACTCGCAGGTTAGACGTGTCCACAGCCCCAGTCCCAGCCCCCGCCCCCGCCCCAGCTGCCAGCCCAGGCCCCCGGCGCGGCAGCGCTCGCCCGGCGCTCGCCGCCTCAGCCCCGCCCCGCTCTCGGGCCACTCGGCGGTTACCAGCTGGGCCCGCCCGCCCGCCCGACGCAGGCGCCGCGCAGCCAATCGGCGGCTGCCACACTGCGGCCGGAGCCGGGCTAGGGGGTTGGGACCTCCGGCTGCAGGTCCGCCTGGGCCAGACGCACGAGCGCAGGCAGCGGGTGCGTGGTCGCCGGCCCGACCTCCGCAGTGCCCGCCGAGCCTCGACCCTCCGGGCCGCCCCCCGCCTCAGCTCGCCGCCATGCGCCTAGCGATGTTTCCCGGCGTGGCGTTGCTTCTCGCCGCAGCCCGCCTCGCCGCTGCCTCCGACGTCCTGGAACTCACAGACGACAACTTCGAGAGTCGCATCACCGACACGGGCTCTGCTGGCCTCATGCTCGTCGAGTTCTTCGCCCCTTGGTGAGGCCACTCTCCTAGGGGAGGGAGGGCCGGGCTGGGCCTGGGGCGAGGGCGGGAACGGTTGGGGCCTACGCAGCGCTGGCGCCCTCCACCATTCCAGCGGGCCCGGGCTGCGGCCGGCGGGTTTCCTAGTCTTGGGGAGCCGAGAGCGGGGAAGTCGCTGCTGGGAGACCCGAGGGGAAGAACCTTCAGGCTGGACTCCCGCAGGGCCGCATCCTTCCCCCGGTGCTCTTGCGGCACTTCCTATTTGCAGAGGGCTCAACCACCCCCTCCCCCCCTTGGATGTGGATCGCTACAATTTCTGGGTGAGTCAGTGATCACCGTTCTGCAGTCTACAGATGAGGCATCCCAAAGCCTTGGGGTCGAAGCGATCATTTCAGCAAATCCCGAGGCCCTTGGCTCTCCAGGGTCTTTCCTTTCTTCTTGCAACCCGCCCCACAGCCTCTGGTTTCCAGCCAAGGTCACTCCGTGGCAACAGAGGGCTCGCTAAGTGCTTTCCTGAGGAAGGCAGTTATTTTGTCCATCACATGGCGTACAGTTTCTACATTTGTCACTTATTTTTCAGCACCAGCACAGACCTCTGCAAAATAGAGTACATGAACAAGAGCGAAAACACCACAATCTGTTTAAATGGGCGGTTTTAATAAGGATTTCTGAGAAATGACCCACACTCCAATGAGAAAGCAACCAGTGTTGGGGAAATAAAAAAGGATGACTTAACTGGACAAAGGTGTATTTCCTTAGGGTAGAGCTGATTCAGAATTTGTCCCGGGGAAAGTGAGAGCAAATAAGATTTCCTGTCCACTCAACCTGAATGATTTTTGTTTTTCACCAAATCATTAGAGAGAAAACTGTGATTATCTTAATGCTTGGGATAGCTTGGTATGTCCATGCTAATTACAGTACTTATTTTCTCACCTTCTGGCATAATAACCCTCAATTAAAACTACCTGTATTCAAAAGTATCAGGAAGACAGTTATTGGTTGGTTCTGGCTCTGATGTTCATTCCCCAGCCCTGAAGACCACCCGAATCAGAAGGATGTGCTAAGAGGCAGCACATTTTGTTTCCAGCTTGTGACAGATTGTGTCCAGGGCATTTTGTGACTCATTGGCAGTACTGATTACACATTAAAGGGAGTCTTTGCACTTCTCTAGAGTTCATGCTTTCTTTAAGAAACAACTCTTCTCAGTTATATAATCATGCTGCTGACTTTGAGGGGTGTCACTGGGCTTGTCAGAATGGAACAGGACTTCCTTGACATCCGGGTTGACATCGGGGTCATGCAAGGATTTAAAATAAGAATTGCTGGAGAATTGTGGGCTCCTGGACTGTTTAAAGCAGAATTTTCGTTTCAGTTGAATGCCTTCTTTCCAACTAAGTTGGTGCATGTGCTTCCCTGAAAACTGCGTATCCCATCATGCACTAAACTATCCCAAGGATTGGGTGGATCTGTGTTGTGTCTGCTTCTAATTGGTTTGGAAGACAAGGTCATCCTTCACAAAGCCCACAAGGAAGATCAGTTTTCTGAATGAGCAATTTGGAATTGAGGAAGTCTCCTGTTGATAATGTCCTTATTTCTTTGCATTCAACTTTTTTTTTTTTTTTTTTTTTTTTGACAGGCAGAGTGGACAGTGAGGAAGAGACAGAGAAAGGTTTTCCTTTTTGCCGTTGGTTCACCCTCCAATGGCCGCCACGGCTGGTGCGCTGCGGCCAGCGCACCGCGCTAATCCGAAGGCAGGAGCCAGGTGCTTCTCCTGGTCTCCCATGGGATGCAGGGCCCAAGGACTTGGGCCATCTTCCACTGCTTTCCCAGGCCATAGCAGAGAGCTGGCCTGGAAGAGGGGCAACCGGGACAGAATCCGGCGCCCTGACTGGGACTAGAACCTGGTGTGCCGCCGCTGCAAGGCGGAGGATTAGCCTATTGAGCCGCAGCGCCAGCCTCATTCAACTATTTTTATTAACACTTAACCTGGAAATGGTTTCTGACTGTTGTGTTCTTTTTGTACAGGTCAGAAGTAGTGCTATCTCACAAGTTAAATAGGAACAGTTAAAGAATCTCTATTAAAAGTAAAATGGACCTGTTTGGGGCAAGTTGTTATTCTTAGATCTTTTTTGCTTTCATTTTAGAAGTGAAAGCGAAAGATTTTTTTTTAAGATTTATTTGTTTGTTTGAATTTCAGAGTTAGAGATCTTCCATCTGCTGGTTCACTCTCCAGATGGTCGCAATAACGGGCTGGGCCAGACAGAACCTGGGACCCAGGAGCTTCATCTGGTTCTCCCATATGGGTTCTAGGGGCCCAAACACTTGGGCCATCTTCAGCTGCATTTTCCAGACCATTAGGGAGCTGGATTGGAAGCAGAGCAGCTGGGACTCAAACCAGCGTCTCTGTGGATTGCTGGCTTTGCAGAAAGCGTTTTTACCTGCTACACGATGCCAGCTCCTGAAAGATTTTTTTTTAAGACTTATTTATTTGAAAATCAGAATTAGAGAGAGGAGGAGAGGCAGAGAGCGAGAAAGAAGTTTTTCCATCCGCTGGTTCACTCTACACCGATATGAAGATAGGAGCCAGGAGCTTTTTTTTGGGTCTCCAACTGGGGGTGCAGGGATACAAGGACTTGGGCCATCTTCTATGGCTTTCCCAGGCCATAGCAGAGCTGGATCAGAAGTGGAGCAGCCAGGACTTGAACCAGCATCCATATGGGATACTAGCACTGCCCACATTGAAAGATTTCTTTGCAGTTGTCTTTATAGACTACTGTTTCCATTATGAGTTAATTATCTATATGTAAGGATGGGAGCATCAGAATTTCTCAGGGGAAATCTAAGGCACTATTCAGATGTTTATGATATTTCTGCCAAGTGTTAATAAGTGGTGAGTTGATTTTAAGTCTTCAGCATCTACTATGGGCTTTGGCTCTTTTTTTAATGTGCATTTTCTCAAAGATTAACTCATTTATTTGAAAGGCAGAGAGAGAGAGGGAAAGATAGATCTTCTGTCTGCTGGTTTACTCCCCAAATGGCCACAACAGCCAGGGCTAGGCCAGGCCAAAGCCAGGAGCCAGGGACTCCAGTACTTGGACTGTCATCTCTGCTTCCCAGGTTTATTAACAGAGAGCTGGATCAGAAGTGTAGGGTGTCTCCAACCAACACTCTAGAGACACAGCGGGATGTCCTTAGCTGTGGCCTAACCCACTGTACCACAACATGCATACCTAACTTTTTATTTTTATTTCTTTGAAGGGCAGAGGGGCAGAGAGACAGATATTGCATCTTCTGGTTCATTTCCCAAATATCTGCAACAGCTTGGGCTGGGCCAAATGAAAGCTAGAAACCCGGAACTCCATCCGGGTCTCCCGTGTGGGTGGCAGGGACCCAAGTACTTGAGCTATCACCTGCTGCTTCCTGGGATGTGCAGTAGCAGGAAGTTGGAATCAGAGGCATATCTGGAACTCCAATCCAGTCACTCTGACGTGGAATGTTCTAGAGCAGGGGCGGGGACATCCTGCCTGTTAGCAACCACAGGCAGGACTTGAAATTAGATAACAGAGTTACAGAGAGAAGGAGAGACACAGAAATCTTCCATCTTCTGGTTTACTCCTTAAATGGCTGTGACCAGGGCTGGGCCAGGCCAAAACCAGGAGCTGCTTCTGGGTCTCCCACATAGGTGGCACAGGCTCAGGGACATGGGTCACTTTATGCTGCTTTCCCAGGCACATTAGCAGAGAGCTGGATTGGAAGTGGAGCAGCTGGGACTCGAACCTGTGTCTGTATGGGATATCTGTCACCCCTTCCACCTGGTGTTCTTGGAGAAGGAAGGAACCATATCAATTTTTCTGTCAGAGCCTAAAACAGTACTGAGCGTATGGCAGGCGTGAAGTGATGATTGTTGGCTGAATATATGTTGTATATTATATAATATATATTATATAATGTTCATTATCTTCTACTAGGTACCTATGGTACCTATCTCTAAGGGTATATGGGATTTTTTTTTAAAAAGATTTATTTTATTTATTTGAAAGACAGAATTACAGAGAGAGGTAGAGACAGAGAGGTCTTCCATCTGCTGGTTCACTCCCCAGATGGCTGCAACGGCCGGAGCTGCGCTGATCCAGAGCCAAGAGCTTCTTCCGGGTCTTCCACACGGGTGCAGGGGCCCAAGGATTTGGGCCATCTTCTGCTTTTCCAGGCCATAGCAGAGAGCTGGATCGCAAGAGAAGCAGCTGGGACTTGAACTGGCACCCATATGGGATGCGGGCACTTCAGGCCAGGGCATTAACCCACTGCGCCACAGCGCTGCCCCAGGATTGTTTGTTAATACTTTGTAGAGGTGCGTGAGAAAAGTAATGATCAATTTTGGTGGATTTTTGTAACTAACTCTTACTTCCCTTGAACTCCACCTGAGTTCCATTGCTGGTGGATTTGAAGGAAGCAGTCTGCTCCAACTTCACTGGCACTCCTATGTGCATTTGATAACTTCAGGAAAACTGCCAGTGCTTAGGGCATTGTTTTCAGTCCCTGCCTTGCAGCTTAGACATCTGGTTTGTTCCCAGATTCCAGGAGATTCTCAGTAAGCCATGTTTACTTACAATTTTTTTTCTCTTCAGGTGTTTAAATATAGTTGAAGTGAAACTTTTAAATCTGTTAGCTTTGATAATTACTAGATATGTGACAGGAATCTCTGTTCTGTCTCTTTATTGTTGCTGTCACTCTGGTCCAAGCTTTCATTATCTGGCATGTGAAATAGAGTATTTTCAAGGTTGCTTTATTCTTGGTTCTGTGCTCTTTTCTTGCTGGCCCCATACCTTGCTAGCTTATGGAGTTTTAATACTATATAGCATAACATTTATTATCTCTCCAAAAAGCAAAGCTCCATAAGGTTTTCTGAATACATCTTTTTTTTTTTTTTTTTTTTTTTTTTTTTTGACAGGCAGAGTGGACAGTGAGAGAGAGAGACAGAGAGAAAGGTCTTCCTTTTGCCGTTGGTTCACCCTCTAATGGCTGCCACGGCTGGCGCGCTACGGCTGGCGCGCTGCGGCCGGCGCACCGTGCTTATCCGAAGGCGGCAGCCAGGTGCTTCTCCTGGTCTCCCATGGGGTACAGGGCCCAAGCACTTGGGCCATCCTCCGCTGCACTCCCTGGCCATAGCAGAGAGCTGGCCTGGAAGAGGGGCAACCGGGACAGAATCCGGCGCCCTGACTGGGACTAGAACCTGGTGTGCCGGCGCCACAAGGCGGAGGATTAGCCTATTGAGCCGCGGCGCCGGCTGGAATACATCATTCTAGCTAGCATTCTCTTACCTTTGCTCTACTGTTGCCCAAATCTATAATACCTTACGCAGAGCCAGCACTGTGGCACAACTGGTTGAAGCCCCAGCCTGTGGTGCCACTTCCCAAATGGGCACTGACGAATTCTGGCTACTCCACCTGCGATCCAGCTCCCTGCTAATGTGCCTAGGAGAGCAGCAGAGGATGCCCAAGTGCTTGGGCCCCTGCACACATGTGGGAAACCTGGAAAAGACTTCTGGCTCCTAGCTTCAGCCTGGGCCAGCCCTGGTCATTGTGGCTAATTGGGGAGTAAGCCCCAGATGAGAAACCTCTCTCTGTATCTTTCTCTGTAACTCTTCCTTTCAAATAAATAAAATAAATCTTTAAAAAATAATAAAATACCTTACCCAGGGCCTGCTTTGTAGTGTAGTGGGTAAAGCTGCTGCCTGTGACGCCATCATCCTATAGGGTGCTGCTTGGTGTCCCGGCTATTCCACTTCAGATCCCAGCTCCCTAGTGGAAAAAGCAGCAACTGATGGCCCAAGTATTTGGATCTCTGCTACCCATGTGGGAGATCCAGATGAAGATTCTGGCTTTGGCTTCTGCCTGTCGGAACCCTCACCCTTGCAGCCATCGGGGGAATGAACCAGCCAGCAGGTGGAAGATCTCTCTCTCTCTCTCTCTCTCCCCTTCTTTATAACTCTTTCAAATAAACAAATACATTTTTAAAAATAATAATACTTTACCCTTGGGCTGGGCATTGTGGCACAGTGGGTTAAGTGGCTGTGTGAGAAACCTGCGGTGTTGGAATAACTTGTTTGAGGCCTGGCTGCTCTGTTTCTGAATAAAAAAGTCACTGATTATGAGAACTTTCTCACTGAGAAAGAAATGCCACAATTGAAGCTATGATAGCAAGACACATCAATATCAGAAAGTATACCTGTGAAATACAGCATAAGGAGTATCATGTACTATTTAGTCTTTAAAAAAAAAAAAAAAAGCCAGTATAGTTGAACCCTCTGTGAACCCCTGCCCTATTTTATGCACTCCTATCCTGAATTTGCTGTGTCACTGTTAACTTATTTAAACTTTCAAATAATTACTTTGAGGGGCCGGCATTGTGGCGCACCTTGTTTTTAAAGAATTGTTTGTTTGAAAGGCAGAGTGACAGAGAAAAGACAGGAATCTTCCATCTGCTGGTTCACTCCCCACAGGGCTGCAACATCCAGGGCTTGGCCACACTGAAGCCAGGAGCCCCGAACTCCATCAGGGTCTCCCACATGGGTGGCAGGGCCCTAAGCATATGGACCTTTATCCACTGCCTTCCCTAGCAGGGAACTAGATCGGGAGTCAGCAGCCAGCAAACTGGTGCTCCAGTATGGGTGCCAACATTGCAAGTGGCAGCTTATTAACCCACTGCACCACAACACCAGCCCCAATCCTTTGTCTTAAACAAGTTTTAGAGATAAAATATTTCCAAGTTATTTAGCTGTTCATCACTTCATAAAACAAATTGAGACTGTTAGCTATGAAATAGATGCTCAAGTTTGTTATCATTCTGTTTTTGCTGTCTGGGGAGGTTACAGAACTTTTCCCCTTACGGTGATCCCTCTGCAACCCATTGACTTGCAGAGATGATGTACAGCTGTGTTAGTTTTATATTGATAAGAATACTTTACACACCCCACCCTGGTTGCATGTATGGTGTACCTGTGGGACTATTAGGACTTTCTGGGCAGAGGAGCAGGTGTTTCTGTTGGCCCTCTGGGAAAATTACTCTAGTTTACATGTTTTTATCAGTTCTCATGGCCAGGTGAACTCTGTAGGTTTAACTGTCTTTCTTAAGTACTTCATCCTGATGTTGTGTTGAAACTCAATTGAGAAGAAAAAGGCCTTCACTGAAATGCTAATGTATCTTCTTGTATCAAAGAAGTGCTTTCTGAGCCTCATTCCACTACACCCTCAAACTGGGTTTCTGGTCATAGAGTCATGTTGAAGGAATGGAGCAAAACACTTGGTGCTGATTCTTAGAGTTAATATTGGGCGCTGGTGCTGTGGCACAGTGAGGTGAGTTAAGCGTCTGCCTGTGGCAGTGGCATCCCCCTTCCAATCCAGCTTCCTGTTAATGGCCTGGGAAAGCAGTGGAAGATGGCCCAAGTGCTTGGATGCCTGCACTTGTATGAGAGACCCAGAAGAAGCTCTGATCAACCAGCTCCTGCTGTTGTAGCCATTTAGTGGTGAACCAAAGGTTGGAAGACCTTTCCCTCTGTCTCTCCCTCTGTCTGTAACTCTGCTTTTCAAGTAAAAATAAATCTTACAAGGTTTTAGTAAAAATAATTAATTAATTTGCTTATTTATTTGAAAGGCAAGAGTGACAGATCTTTCATCTACCAAGTGACTGCCCAAATGACTGCAACGGTCAGGCCTGGACCATGCTGAAGCCAAGAGCCCAGAACCTCATCTGAGTCTCCTACATGAGTGACAGGGGCCCAACTAGTTGGGCAAACTTCCACTGCTTCCCTGGCCATTGGAACCTGGATCCAAAGTGGAATAGCTAGAACTTGATCTGGCACTTGAATACAGGATGCCAGCATCACAAGTGGTGGCTTGACCCACTGTGCACAATATTGGCCCCTAGTCACTGTATTTTTAAGAGCCAAATGCTAAACCTTCCTTTGGGGGAGTGCTGCCAGAAATGAGATTATTGCTATCTTGTCCTTCATTTTAGCCTCATTTGTTCCTTCTTTAGTGTGGAGTGTACTTGTGACTACAACCTTCAAGACTCCGTTATGTTAATTGAGAATAAATTTTGTGCTTCTCTGAGCCAGTGCTATAGAGTGATCCTCAGGTTTAAGACAGGATGTTTGTCTTCTGAAAACTCTGGTTTACCTTAGCAATAATGAATATTGCTCAGCTGATACTTTGCTTTTGGAAATGACTGCTAGTTCAACAGTAGTATTATAGTTTAAGATTCTTTCTAGATACAGAATTCACAGATTTGTAGGATTAAACTGAGAATTTGGCTTTTCCATATGTTTACATTTAGGTGTGGACACTGCAAGAGGCTTGCCCCTGAGTATGAAGCTGCAGCTACTAGATTAAAAGGAATAGTCCCACTAGCAAAGGTGAGTACAGGTGGATTCTTTGTTAAAGGATATGAGGTATTTTATGTTTGTAATATTAACTGATTTTTCTCTACTCTTAGGATGCTAAGAAAAATAAACACTAGTTTCTGGACAAATACAAAACTGACTATGATGTTATAGTTTCAAAAGACAAAGTAGTGAGACTAAGGAAATTATTGGCATAAGAAACAAAATATATTGATAAATAAAAATATACAGGGCAAATACAGAAAGTAAAAGTGCAGCTCTAAAGGTTAGAGGAAAATGATTGAGTGAATGATTTCCCTAAACCATATTTTAATATTCACAGTGATGGGAATGGGAAAATAAGAGGATATTGATGAATATGTAGCCACTATTTTTATGACTAAAGTAAATGCTTCCAGTTTAAAAGTTCAGCTCTCTGCCTGAAATAGTAAATGCAAGTATAAGGCTGTTTTTGGAAACTGTTTTATTTTTATTTTTATTTTTATTCTTATTATTTATTTGAAAGGCAGAGTTGCAGATAGAGGAAAAGATAGACAAAGAGATCTTCCATCTGCTAGTTCACTCCCTAAATGGCTGTAATGGCCAGGGCTGGGCCAGGCTGAAGCTAGGAATCCAGAACTCCATCTAGGGTTCCCACATGAGTGGCAGGGCCCCAAGCACTTGGGCCATCTTCGGCAGTTTTCCCAGGTGCATTAGCAGCACTCTGGTATATGGGATGCCAGCAATGTAAGTGGCAGCTTCACGCTCTGCACCATAACATCAGCCCCTTGGAAACTACTTTTAATTGTGATATTAAACAGCTTGGTAAAGAGGGAAAAACTTCATGGTTTAATTCCTGCTTCATATGACTATAGACACATTAATTGTCTAGACATCCATTTACCTGTCTTAGAAATTATTTCCCTTCTTTCTGAGTTTCACTAGATTTGTTATGCAATGGTTTAGCTGATTCAGATTAGCTCTGGGAGCATGTACATTTGTTGGTACCTTTGTTAATAACTCTATATTTGCAAAATCACACTATACCCCATCACACTTAAAAATATGTATATATACCCATCTTTCCTTCCCCGTGATCATAGTTCTTTTCAAAGTAAGCCAAAGCAAGTGGTTTATCCCTTAAGTACTCTGAGGCAGGAAAAAGATGGAGACCACTGCTTTAAATAACAGAAACTCACAGGGACAGAATTAAGTAGTAATTTTGCCTATTTGTATGAATGCTAGAAATCTAAATTCTTTAAGATCTAATGGTCTTTGATGTGTTTGCTGCACATTTCTTGATCCTCTTATGCCCTGATCAGTTCTAATATTTTCTGAACACGGAAACGACCTGCAGTAGGTGTCTGGATAACAAAATAATTTGTTTTAATATTAGGTTGATTGCACTGCCAACACAAACACCTGTAACAAGTATGGAGTCAGTGGATATCCAACACTGAAGATATTTAGAGATGGTGAAGAAGCAGGTGCTTATGATGGGCCTAGGACTGCCGGTAAGGATCCTAGGTTATGTTCTGGCAACTGAATTTGTTAAGTACGTGTTTCTTTGTAGTGAAGGAATGAGAATGTGTTTTTCTACACAGTGTACTTTGGGTTGTGAAAGTTCCTTATCTAATAGGACAGTTTGATAAGTATACAAAAGACTTCTTTAAATGGATATGAGTAATACTTGAACTTGAGTTACAAGGTCAGCAAAGCATTTTCTCATTTGGTAAGTATTGAATGCCTACTTTGGGGGCTGGCACTGTAGTATGGTAGGTTAAGCTTCTGCTTGTGGCTGTTCCATTTCTGATCCAGCCCTCTGCTAATGGCCTGGGAAAGCAGTGGAAGTTGCCCCAAGTGCTTGGGCCCCTGCATCCACATGGGAGACCTGGAAGAGGCTCCTGGCTTCAGATTGGCCCAGCGCTGGGGGTTGTGGCCATTTGGGGAGTGAACCAGCAGACAGAAGACCTTTCTCCCTCTCTCTGCCTATAACTCTGACTCTCATAAATAAATAAATTTTTTTTAAAATACCTACTCTGCCAGCTATTCTGTAGATACACTATGTGCTTGATATTGATAAAACTAAAGTCTCTAGTTTTGTGGAACTTACATTCTGGGAGAAAAAGGGGAAAAAAGGCCACCAACATTATAAAAAATATATATGGATAATCATCTAATAACATTTAGGATGGCAGCTTTAAAAAAAAAAAAAGTAGGCAGCCATGTGATACAGCGTTAGGTTGCCAATTGGGATATCTGCATTCTATATCTTGAGTGCTGGTTTGAGTTCCATTTAGTCCATTTCTCATCCAGCTTTCTGTTGATGTGCACTGTAGGAGGCAATGGCTCAAGTGTTTCGGTTCCTGCTGTCCACATAGGAGACCTGGATAGAGCTCTCAGCTTTGGCCTGACCCAGCCTAGGCTGTTATCGTCATTTGGGAAGTGAACTAGTGAATGGAAGAACTCTTTGTCTATTGCTTTTCAAACAAAAGGGAAAAATGATTAAATAAAAAAGCTGTTTAAAACTTTATTTTTAAAGATTTATTTATTTATTTGAAAGACAGAGTTACACAGAGAAGGAGAGGCAGAGAGAGAGAGAGGTCTTCCATCCACTGGTCCACTTCCCAAATGACCGCAACGGCCTGAGCTAGGCCAGTCTGAAGCCAAGAGCTTCTTCTGGGTCTCCCATGCAGGTGCAGGGACCCAAGGACTTGGGCCATCTTCTGCTGCTTTCCCAAGCCACAGCAGAAAGCTGGATCAGAAGTGGAGTAGCCGAGACTTGAGCCAGCACCCATAGGGGATGCCAGTGATGCAAGCGGTGGCTTTATTCACTGTGCCCGCAGCAGCCAGTGATGGGCCAGGGCAAAGCCAGGATCCCAGAACCCAATCGAGGTTTCATACAAGGGTGGCAGCAATTCAAGTACTGCACATTATCAGGACGCTGGACTTGAGGGCAGAGCCAGGACTCAAACTTGTGCACTCTGTTAAAGGATGTGTGTGTCCCAAGTGGTGTCTGGTAACTGTTGTGCCAAATGCTTGTCCTATGATTTTTTTTTTTTTTAAGGTTTATTTATTTGTTTGAAAGAGTTACAGAGGCTGGTGCCACGGCTCAATTGGATAATCCTCCACCTGCGGTGCCGGCACCCCGGGTTCTAGTCCCGGTTGGGGTGCCAGATTCTGTCCTGGTTGCTCTTCTTCCAGTCCAGCTCTCTGCTGTGGCCCGGGAAGGCAGTGGAGTGGCCCAAGTGCTTGGGCCCTGTACCCGTATGGGAGACCAGGAAGAAGCACCTGGCTCCTGGCTTCAGATTGGCACAGGGCGTTGAGGGGTGAACCAATGGAAGGAAGACCTTTCTCTTTAACTCTGCCTGTAAAAAAAAAGAAAAAGAAGAAGAAGAAGAAGAAAGAAGGAAAGGAAGGAAAAGAAAGAAAAAGAGTTACAGAGAGAGAGGCCTTCCATTCACTGATTCACTCCTCAGTTGGCCACAGTGGCCAGAGCTACACCTATCTGGAGCCAGGAGTGAGGTGCTTCCTCATGGTCTCCCATGTGGTTGCAGGGGCCCAAGGACTTGGACCATCTTCTACTGCTTTCCAAGGCCACAGCAGAGAGCTGGATCAGAAGTGGAGCACCCAGGACTCGAACCAGTGCCCATATAGGATGCCGGCACTGCAGGCAGTGGCTTTACCTACTATGCCACAGCGCTTGCCCCCCATGATTCGTTTTTTAAGATTTTGTGTGTGTGTGTGTGTGTGTGTTTGTGTAGCTAGCCCCTCACTCCTCAACAGCAAAATGTGATTTTTGGCTGGCTCCTTCATGTACATGATATATTTTAACCTATATATGGTTAAATTCCTATAGAAGCTGGCAAAAAGTCACTGCATTTTTTGTTTTAAAAAATAGAAAGCTACAGGTGACCCTTTGTGCTGCTTGAGAGTAAGAACATGTGTTTTCATTTAATTTATTAGCAGAATGATGTTTTTAAGATTTTTAATGTGATGAGCACTAGAGCAGAACAAAAACTCCTATTTGGAATCTACTTGGTAGTGAAGAGTTTAGAGGCACAAGGGGGCCAGTGTTATGACATAGCAAGTAAAGCTGCTATGTGCAATATCGGCATCCCATATGGGCACTGATTTGATTCCTGGATGCTCCACTTCCTATCCAGCTCCCTGCTAGTGTGCCTGGGAAAACCACAGAGGATGGCCCAAGTGTTAGGGCCCCTGCCACCCACATGTGAGACCTAGATGAAGCTCCTGGCTTCGGCCTAGTCCAGCCCTGGCTACTGGGGCCATTGGGGAGTGAAACAACAGATGAAGAAATCTGCATCTCTCTCATAACTCTATCTTTCAAATAAAATAAATATTTTTTAAAAAGAGAGACACATAGAGGCTGGCGCAGTGCATTAATCCTCCGCCTGCGGTGCTGGCATCCCATGTGGGCGCTGGTTCTAGTCCTAGCTGCTCCTCTTCCCGTTCAGCTCTCTGCTGTGGCCTGGGAAAGCAGTGGAAGATGGCCCATGTGCCTGGGCCCCTGCACCCATGTGAAAGACCGGGAGGAAACTCCTGGCTCCTGGCTTTGGAATGGCGCCGTTCCGGCAGTTGCAGCCATTTGGGGAGTGAACCAATGAAGGGAAGGCCTTTCTCTGTATCTCTTCCTCTCACTGTTACTCTACCTCTCAAATAAATAAATAAAAAATATTAAAAAAGAGACCAATAGAAAAGAAAAAGAGACCAATAATAAATTTCTTTGGAAGTCATTTAACAGTTGCAAATGCATGTACCCTTGACCCAGTGAATTCACTTTACCTAATATATTTACTTACTTACAAAATGACAGTGATACAGTGTTACTTGTATCACAGAATCAGGTGTAACAGCTAGAGATTCGAAACATGTCCATCATTTGTGTCTGGTTGAATAAATTATGGTGGTCTATACAGTGCTGTAATAAAAGGTTGAGGTGGCTCATTATGTACATTGATAGAAACTATCTCTGAGCTGTTAAATGAAAAAAATAGAGAACATGCATATGTCACCATTTTTGAGGCTAAAAAAGAAAAATGATAAATATGTAAATGTTTGTGCTAAAAATATTTGGAAGGGAGGCCGGCACCGCGGCTCACTAGGCTAATCCTCCGCCTTGCGGCGCCGGCACACCAGGTTCTAGTCCCGGTTGGGGCGCCGGATTCTGTCCCGGTTGCCCCTCTTCCAGGCCAGCTCTCTGCTGTGGCCAGGGAATGCAGTGGAGGATGGCCCAAGTGCTTGGGCCCTGCACCCCATGGGAGACCAGGAGAAGCACCTGGCTCCTGCCATCGGATCAGCGCGGTGCGCCGGCCGCAGCATGCTGGCCGCGGCGGCCATTGGAGGGTGAACCAACGGCACAGGAAGACCTTTCTCTCTGTCTCTCTCTCTCACTGTCCACTCTGCCTGTCAAAAAAAAAAAATAAATAAATAAATTTGGAAGGGTATACTGGAAACTGAAATCTCATCTTGTGTGGAGGAAACTGAGTGACCAGTAACAAGGTTGGGAAGAAAACTTCATTGTATATACCCTTTTGCACATTTTGAATTTTGGATCACGTGAAGTTACGTTTTCAAAAATTATAATTGCTGTACCTTTAATCTTGACTTCTAAGATGGAATTGTCAGCCACTTGAAGAAGCAGGCAGGACCAGCTTCAGTGCCTCTCGGGACTGAGGAAGATTTTAAGAAGTTCATTAGTGATAAAGATGCCTCTGTGGTGGGTAAGTAGCAAGTATTTATGCCAAAATCATCAACTGGCTTTCAGAAATCCTTCATGTGTGGGAAAACTATGAATTTACAACAGTTAGGAAACTTTGGGGGCAGTTTAAGCAATTATTAGATCAGTATTGCCATAATGTGGGGCAGTTGATGTTTTGAATGGTTGTGCTCTTACAGATATAAAAGTTTTAATTTCTGTTAAAGGTCTAGAATAGAAATATCTTCAGCTTTTTCTATCACTTCTTAAAATCTTAGACTTAACTTACATTTTCACAGTAATCTGCTTTCTGCAGTATTGCCCTAACAATTTTAAGTGTGGTATGTGATATATTTGACAAAATGTAAACATGTAAGTTGTGTTTCTGCTTCTCTTAATTACTGTAAAAAATGGACTTTGTGTCAACAGAAGATGATTTATCATTTAAATTTTACTGAAAGATACTTAACTGGATTTTACCATGTGTTTTACCAAGAATTAATTCTGAGTAGGCAATTATTAATATTTGTTTTGGTCACTTTTCTAAACCTGACATTCTAATGACAGGTAAGACAGAAAAAGAGTGAAATCACTCATAGTTTATTTTGATATGCTATTTTAATTTGATACCAGAAATAGTAGTTTGCTCAAATTTATTCACTTGTGAAAAAGGAGAAGACTTGAACCAAGATCTTCTCTTGTGGCTGTCTCAGAAATGTTTCTTTAAAAGGAAGAGAAACATTCTCCTTCTGAACGCTGTTTCAGATATGAGGTGCTCAGGGAAGGAGCAGACCCAGTCCTATTTACCTTACTTTGCTTATCCATGATAGAGTAAAGACTTTGAGAAACAGAAGATCTTAAAAGTATTGAACATCTCTCAGCACTTACTGCTTCTTCCTGTGTCTGGTATGTTTTTTGTAGGTTTCTTCAAGGATTTATTCAGTGAAGCTCACTCTGAGTTCCTAAAAGCAGCCAGCAACTTGAGGGATAAGTACCGATTTGCACACACCAACGTTGAGTCTCTGGTGAAGGAGTATGATGATGATGGAGAGTAAGTGACTGCTGAGTGCCCGTGTAAATCTTTGGAGCAAGTGCTGTTATGTGAGCTCATGGTTGTTTTGCCTGTTTCTAAAATATTATTGAACCTTTGCTAGGCGAAGGTAAGTGCTAGAAAGTATTGCTGTCTTTGAGAGGCGTCTACCTACTAGAGAAGGCATAAATAAGTGAATATATATAAAAATGTAAGGGGAGTGGTATATGGAAATGTGTTATGATGGAAATGTACAAGGATACTTCAGAAAGTTTGTTGGAGGAGGGCATTTGGCCTAGCAAGGGAGACGCCAGCTGAGATGCCCACCTCCCACATCAGATTGCCTGCATTCATGTCCCAGCTCTGCTGCCCTTCCAGCTTCCCACCCTAAGAGACAGCAGGATACGGCTCAGGTGTTTCCTGCCATGTTTGTGAGAGACAAGGATGGAGTTCTCAGCTCCTGCTTCAGCCTGGCCCCAACCCAAGCTGTTGTAGGCATTTGGGGAGTGAAAGAACAGATCAGAGATCTTTTTGTCTGTCTTTACCTCTTTTTGTCTCTGCCTTTCAAATAATTTTTTTTAAAAAAAATCCATATGCCATATCAGAGTCTCTGGGTTTGATGCTTGTTTTTGGCTCCTGACTCCAGCTTCCTGCAAGTATGGATCCTGGGAGGCAGAGGTGATGGCTTAAATAATTGGGGCCATCCACATAGGAGACCTGGATTGAGTTTCCAGCTCCCAGTTTTGCTGCTGCCCCCAAACCAACCCCACTTCCCACCACCATTTTAGTCATTTGGAGAGTTGAACATGTGGATGAGAGTTCTATGTCTCCATCTCAAGTAACATTTTAAGCAGAACCTCAAGGACTTAAGAGTTAAATTTTAGAAGTTAATGGAAAAATGGAATTAAACAGTTTATTTTGAGTGCAAAAATTTTTGAAATCCATGCATAAGTTTTTTGTGATATACATATTCTGTGAACTTTTTTTTTTATTAATTTATTTGAAAAGAGTTACACAGAGAGAGGAGAGGCAAAGAGAGAGGGGTCTTCCATCCGCTGGTTCACTCCCCAGTTGGCCGCAATGGCTGGAGCTGTGCAGATTCGAAGCCAGGAGCCTCCTCCGGGTCTCCCATGCAGGTGCAGGATACCAAGGACTTGGGCCATCCTCCACTGCCCTCGCAGGCCACAGCAGAGAGCTAGATCGGAAGTGGAGCAGCCAGGTCTCAAACCAGCGCCCACATGGGATGCCAGCGCTTCAGGCCAGGGTGTTAACCCACTGTGCCAAAGCGCCAGTCCCAGAACTTTTTGAAAATTTCATAATTAGAAAGCATTGGGGGTACAAAAAGATGGAAGTTTTTTTTTTTTTTTTTCCCTTAAAGAATGGAGAACAGTCAGAAAAAATTTCATAGAGCAGGTGACTTAAAAGATCAATTTTCCCAGGTAGATTATAGTAGTTGTGATAAAAATTATTCCAGATAAAGCAGCTGAAATGAAGGCCCAGGGGTATAAGAGAGCTGTGGCATCTTTGGACTCCCATAGTACTGCAAGGATATTGTTTTTGAGTGAGGTGATAATGAAAGTTAAGCAGAAACCAATCTAAAGCCTGTAAGTGCATTACAAAAGAGTTAGATTTTATCTTTTAGACATTTGAGAGCCATTGAGCTAGGGAGTAATGTGACTAATTTTGTGTTTCAGAACATCTTCGTGGTGGTGGTTTGAAAAGGGAGTAGTGGGAAAGCAGTTAGGAAGTGGTGAACAGCAGCCAGGGCTTGAGCCAAGCTAAATCCAGGAGTCTGGAACTCCATTCAGGTCTCACACATAGGAGGCAGGGGCTTTCTCAGGCTTTCCAAGGCACATTAGCATGGAGTTAGATTGGAAGTAGAGTAGCTAGAACTTGGACCAGCACCCATATGAGATGTTGGCTCTGTGGGGGGCAGCTTAAACTATGCCGTAGCACTAGCCCCAACTATTTTTTTTTTTTTTTTAAGAGTTATTCGTTTATTTGAAAGGCAGAGTTAGGGAGAGAGAGAGGAGAGTGGTCTTATGTTTGCTTGTTTACTCCCCAAATGACCACAATAGCCAGGGCTGGGCCAGAATGAAGCCAGGAGCTAGGAACTTCACCTGGGTCTCCCACGTGGGTCTCAGGAACCCAAGTATTTGGACCATCCTCTGCTGCTTTCCTTGGCACAATTGCAGAGAGCTAAAAAAAGAATTTTAAGAGTGGACATTTAGCCTAGCAGTTAACACATCAGAGTACCAAGGTTTGATTCCTGACTCCAGCTACCAGCTCCAACTTCCTGGGAGGCAGTGGTGATGTTTCAGATGGTTGGGTTCTTGTCATCTATGTGGTAGGTATGGGTTAAGTTTCCAGGTCATAACATTAATCCCAGTCATTTTTGAGAGTGAACTAGTAGTTGGGGGATCTCTCTCTCCCTCTCCTCGCCCTTTCCTCCTTCCCTAAGACTCTGCCTCTCAAATAAATGATTAAAAGAATTTTAGCCCTGTTCACATTCTTGCTTGCACAGCATGCTTGTATTAGGTTCCTGTTTGCCATGCAGTTTCCCTGTGTTCCATGAAAATGTGCTTTAATTAACATACAGGTAGTTAATGGCTAATTTGGAAGTATAATAAAGGATATAAAATAATGATATTTTCCTTTCTTCACTTCCTCCGTCCCTCCTCCCATTCTTTTATTTTCTTTCTTTTTCTTTCCTTTTTGAATTATATTGAATCTATTGTAATTATTACAAAAACATAAAAATAGTCATGTTTTCTAACAAAGTGAGTACTAGATATAAACCAAACCAAAGATGCAATTTTTCCTGAACAAAAGGCTGGAAATTAAAGGAATTTGCATCCTCAGTGGATTGAGGAAAGTTTGACTAAAGTGAGAGGCAAAGTAGTACAAACGAGAAATATTAGTAAACTTGGTTCATTGAGAAATGCAGAACAAAGGAATTTCTGGAGAACTGAAGCTAAATATTCATAATTGTATTTCTACCTATAACATTTTATAACTTGAAGAAATCTTGAAGATGTTTTCTCTAATGAAATATTTTTCTTACTGTGTGAAGTGAATTTCTAAGGAGAGCAACAGGGCAAAGTACCCATTAATAGGAGCATTCTCTGCTTTATTTTTTTATACATTTTGGGATAAGTTGTATTCTGTTTGCTGCTGTTTTTAGAGGTTTTGGAATTATCTATTCTGACCCCACCTGAAGCCCAGAAGGACTTTGTAGCCCAAGGTTTATTAAGCCTTTATACCCAGTTATTGTATTTGAGATTAAAATGGTTAGCATCCCAGTATAGAAGGTCATGTTGCATCTGGATCTGTAGCCTCAGAAAAGAGTGCTATGTGCTTAGATGGTAGTAGCAAAGTTACATAGTCTGAGCTGTAGATAAAAGATACGATATAGTCCCTCTGCTACCTGTCTACTCAGAGGTTTTGTTTGTTTGTTTTAAAGGGGTATCACCTTATTTCGTCCATCACATCTGACGAACAAGTTTGAGGACAAGACTGTGGCATATACAGAACAGAAAATGACTACGGGCAAGATTAAAAAGTTTATCCAAGAAAACATGTGTGTACCTCTTGATACCTTGTCTGGGTTTCTTTGCTTCATTTTAGTTTTACCTCAGTTATTAAGCATTGCTATGTTTTGACTTACAGAGCCTATTCAGGGTTTTTTTAAAATACAGTTTGAAGTTTACATTAGAGCAGTAATGTACGGGCCCTAGAAGTCATGTGTAAGGTATATTGCTTAGTACTTGTCATAAATGTTGAAAATTTCTTTCTCTTTTAAGTGTTGTCAGTTAGTTATAATGCTATAATGTCCCTAATAAACATGCCTAAGTTAATGGATTATTTCATTTCAGTTTTGGTATCTGTCCTCACATGACAGAAGACAATAAAGATTTGATACAAGGCAAGGACTTACTTATAGCTTACTATGATGTGGACTATGAAAAGAATGCCAAAGGGTCTAACTACTGGAGAAACAGGTAATAAGAATTGTGTTTTTGTAAACAAGTTTGCCCAATGTGTATACAGTCCCCTCTAACTATCTTGTTAAGAACAGATGAGAATTGTGAATTTGGGGTGAGCATTGTGCAGCAGGTTAAGCTGCCACTTGGGATTCCTGCAACTCCTAAAACAGTGCATATTTTGAGTCCTGGCTCCTCTGCCATGCCTGGGAAGGCAACGGGTGATGACCCAAGTACTTGGTTCCCTACTGCCCATGCAGGAGACTCAGATGGAGTTCCTGGCTCCCGGCCAGGCCCTGGCAGTTGTGAGCAATTGGGGAGTGAAACGGTGGGGGAAGATCTCTGTCACTCTCTTTCAAATAAATCTTAAAAAGCGGGGGAATTGGGAACATGTGGCTCCCGGAAACTACATTTGAAGCCATGTGCATAACAAACTGTTTTGAAAAGGTATTGGGCATCACTCCCAAGGATGTTCCTTTGCATTGTGACATAGTGACTCCAGACCTTACAGTAAAACATATAAATTTGATTTAAAATGCACTTAAGACATTGTGCCCACTGTCAATGCATTTTACCCTTGCCAATTTTTTTTTTTCAGATCTGTCATTATGCCTGCACTAGAGTTTACAGTTATGTAACAAGATTCATTGAGGGTGAACCATTTGATTGGTTGCCTCCAATTTGGCAGTGTTGTTCAGTATGGCATTAAAATATACCATATCCCCATGTCAGTACACAGAACACAAGTTCAGAATGATTCTAGAGTGCTGCATGGATTGGCAAAGTTAGTCTTTGCTTTCTAAGTTCTTCTTAGTTCTAAAAATGCTTTACCATGCTAGTACAGTCTTGGCACAAATATCTCTTGTTTCCCACAGAGTAATGATGGTGGCAAAGAAGTTCCTGGATGCTGGACACAAACTCAATTTTGCTGTAGCTAGCCGTAAAACCTTTAGCCATGAACTTTCTGATTTTGGCTTGGAAAGCAGTACTGGAGAGGTTCCTGTTGTTGCTATCAGAACTGCTAAAGGAGAGAAGTTTGTCATGCAGGAGGAGTTCTCGTGAGTTGCTTGTTGGTGTGGCACAATCTTCTTTCTTCTTTGAATACCACATGGTCCTAATGTAAACTTAGGGAAATTGGAAAGGGGTGGGCGTTTGACACAGAAGTTTAAGTTACAACTTAGGTCACCTGCATCCTATATTGGAGTGCCTGGGTCAAGTTCTGGCTGCTCTGCTTCCAGTCTGCTTCCTACTGATGCACATCGTAGGAGACAGTAGATCATGACTCAAGTACTTGGATCCCTATCACTCATGTAGGAGACCTGGATGGAGTTCCAGGCTTTGGCCTGGCCCAGCCCCAGCTATTGCAGGCAGCTGAGGTGTGAATCAGTGGATGGAAGACCTCTCTCTTTTTGCCTTTCAAATAAAGTTTAAATCTATAGGGGCTAGTGCTGTGGTGAAATAGGCTAAGCCTCGGCCTGTGGCGCCAGCATCCCATATGGGTACTGGTTCTAGTCCGTGCTGCTCCTCTTCCGATCCAGCTCTCTGCTTATGGCCTGGGAAACCAGTAGAGGGTGGCCCAAGTACTTGGGCCCCTGCAGCCATGTGGGAGACCCGGAAGAAGCTCTTGGCTTTGGATCAGCTCAGCTCCAGCCATTTAGGGGGTGAATCGGTGAATGGAAGACCTTTCTCTCTGTCTCTCCCTCTCTAACTCTACTTCTCAAATAAATAAAATATTTTTAAAATAAATAAGTAAATAAGTAGAGATCACAGGGGCTGGCATTACAGTGTAGCAGGTAAAGCCGCTGCCAGCATCCCATTTGGGCACTGCTGTGTGTCCACTTGGGATCCAGCTCGCTGCTAATAGCCTAGAAAAAGCTACAGAAGATGGCCCAAGTGCTTGGGCCACTGCTACCCACATGGGAAACCTGGAAGAAGTTCCTGGTTCTTGGCTTCGGCCCAACACAGCCCTCGCCATTGCAGCCATCTGGGTAATGAACCAGTGAATGGAAGATCTTTTCTGTCTTACCCTCTCTCTCTGTAACTCTGACTTTCAATTAAATCTTTTTTAAAAAGAAATCTCAGGCACAATTTTTATATTCACCTTCTGGAACAAGAGTAAAATCTTCCTTGTGAGCCAGTCAGTAAAACAAGATACTATAAAACCCACTGTTCTCCAGAGCAACCAAGACCTGGTTCTTCTGCAAAAAGCAAATTTACAAAACATAAGCATTTCCTCCTTTAGAATTTTGCAATCCATAAAGAGTGCACTGGAAATGGAAGAGAAGTGGTTTATTTCTTTTTCCATATCGAGAAATAAAGAATACCTCTTGGCCGGAGCTGCGGCTCAATAGGTTAATCCTCCGCCTTGCGGCGCCGCCACACCGGGTTCTAGTCCCGGCCGGGGCGCCGGATTCTGTCCCGGTTGCCTCTCTTCCAGTCCAGCTCTCTGCTGTGGCCCGGGAGTGCAGTGAAGGATGGCCCAAGTGCCTGGGCCCTGCACCCGCAGGGGAGACCAGGAGAAGCACCTGGCTCCAGCGCAGTGCACCGGCCACAGTGCACTGGCCACAGCAGCCATTGGAGGGTGAACCAACGGCAAAGGAAGACCTTTCTGTCTGTCTCTCTCTCTCACTGTCCACTCTGCCTGTCAAAAAAAAAAGTACCTCTCCCCTTTTAGCTTTAAATTCAAGCTAAAATATGTGGAAACTACTCAAAGGAGTTGTTTATGCTCAGTAAATTAACACTTGACCCTTGTCTTTGCATTTGCAGGCGTGATGGCAAGGCTCTGGAAAGGTTCCTGCAGGATTACTTTGATGGCAATCTGAAGAGATACCTGAAATCTGAGCCCATCCCAGAGAGCAATGATGGGCCTGTAAAGGTGAGGTGCTCACAGCTGCACCAAGCCTAGGAGCAGTTACTCCTCCTCGTTTCCTTATTTAGACTCAAAATTCTGGGTCTAAATGTATACTTTGTTGGCTTTTTGTCTTTATTTTTGGTCCTTCCCTCCCTGAGCTGTAAGATAAGCATTGGTAAGCTCCACAATCTGCAGAGCCAGGAATGTAAAACCTTAGAATTTTCTGATGCAATTTATACTTAGGCTAGCTTACTCTTTGGGGTAGAGTAAGCTAGTCCCTAAGAATAGTTTTGTTGGGGCCGGTGCCGCAGCTCACTAGGCTAATCCTCCGCCTGCGACGCTGGCACACCATGTTCTAGTCCCGGTCGGGGCGCTGGATTCTGTCCCGGTTGCCCCTCTTCCAGGCCAGCTCTCTGCTGTGGCCAGGGAATGCAGTGGAGGATGACCCAAGTACTTGGGCCCTGCACCCCGTGGGAGACCAGGAGGAAGCACCTGGCTCCTGCCATTGGATCAGCGCGGTGTGCCGGCCACAGCACGCTGGCCGTGGCGGCCATTGGAGGGTGAACCAACAGCAAAGGAAGACCTTTCTCTCTGTCTCTCTCTCTCACTGTCCACTCTGCCTTTATCTTTTTATTTTATTTTTTTATTTGAATGGACCGGCAGAGTGGACAGTTAAAGAGAGAGACAGAGAGAGAAAGGTCTTCCTTTGCCGCTGGTTCACCCTCCAATGGCCGCCGCTGCAGCCGGCGCACCGCGCTGATCCTGGCAGGAGCCAGGAGCCAGGTGCTTTTCCTGGTCTCCCATGGGGTGCAGGGCCCAAGCACCTGGGCCATCCTCCACTGCACTCCCTGGCCATAGCAGAGAGCTGGCCTGGAAGAGGGGCAACCGGGACAGAATCCGGCGCCCCAACCGGGACTAGAACCCGGTGTGCCGGCGCCGCAAGGTGGAGGATTAGCCTATTGAGCCACGGCGCTGGCTCCACTCTGCCTTTAAAAAAAAAAAAAAAAATTAGTTTTGTTGCTCTGACAGTTAGGTAACCCATATATTTCCTATGACTTCCTAAATGTAATTGACAGATGACAGACATGGGAATGAGTTGGTTTCTGGGGAGTGGCATCTTTAATACAGTCAGTCTATAAATATGGTTTGGTTTTCCATGACTTCTTTTCCATGATACCACATCAAATTTGAGAGGGGATTAGATACAGAAACAAATACAGCTTTTGTATTTACTCTTTTCTTTACTTAAAAACTAAAGAATCTTCTATGTTTTCTTTCCAGGTAGTGGTAGCAGAAAATTTTGATGAAATAGTGAATAATGAAAATAAAGATGTTCTGATTGAGTTTTATGCTCCTTGGTGTGGTCACTGTAAGAATCTGGAGCCCAAGTATAAAGAACTGGGAGAGAAGGTAAGCCTCAACCCTGTTCTTATGCTAAAGTTTGAGCGGGAAGTTTGCATACATGCCGAGCATTGGTTGCTTGGTTATTCCAGTTAGTCCGGTTCCTGAGTATTGGTAGATATTTTTCAGTCTACTTGCTTTCTCTTGTTCGCCACCTAGTGTCTGTAACTTGTCAGTGCCTCAGTTATCCATTTTAATTTGGCATTCCTCAATCTAGTTTATTGTTAAAAATACCCAGGAGCTTCTGAATTTTGGTGGTGGCTTAGGAATCTGTAAGTTCCTACATTTTTTTTTTCCACAATATTTGAAAGGCGGAGTGATGGGATTGGGGGCGGATATCATCCATCCACTGGTTTCCTTCCCCTAAAGTCTGCGATAGCTGAGATTGGGCCACACAGAAGCCAGGAGCTAGGAACTCCGTCCAGATATCCCATGTGGGTGGAAGAAACCCAAGTACTCAGGCAGTTATCGAAAGTCAAAGTTACACAGTGAAGGAACTTAGTTGGGAAGCAGAGTATTCCATCCACTGGCTTACTCCCCAATTGGCCATAATGGCCAGAGCTGCACCAATCCAAAGGCAGGAGCCAGGAGCCTCCTCCAGGTCTCCTACGTGGGTTCAGAGGCCTAAGCACCTGGGCCATCGTCCACCACCTTCCCAGGCCACAGCAGAGAGCCAGATTGGAAGTGGAGCAGCCAGGACTCGAATCAGTGCCCACATGGGATGCCGGCACTGCTAGCAGCAGCTCCACCCACTACACCTCAGCGCTGGCCCCTGGATATAGAGTCTTAAGAGGATCCAGGAGAGAAAAATAAGCTTGTGGAATATTAGATAATATCTGTAAGCTGTACTGCTCTTCTCATCTGGAGCAGTAACTTAACAAATGTAGTTGAAGAATGAGGTTGTTGTTAAGTCTTGAATTGACTAAATGTGTCTCTGTCACTGAAAACTTGAAATTTAAAGATCTAACCTTTACACCCACAGCTCAGCAAAGACCCAAATATTGTCATTGCCAAGATGGATGCCACAGCCAATGATGTGCCTTCTCCATATGAAGTCAGAGGGTAAGTAGATTAAAAATTAACAAAAGGCCGGCGCTGTGGCTCAATAGGCTAATCCTCCGCCTTGCGGCACCAGCACCCCAGGTTCTAGTCCTGGTCAGGGCGCCGGATTCTGTCCTGGCTGCCCCTCTTCCAGGCCAGCTCTCTGCTGTGGCCAGGGAGTGCAGTGCTGGCTCCTGCCATTGGATCAGTGCGGTGCGCCGGCCACAGCGCGGCGGCCATTGGAGGGTGAACCAACGGCAAAGGAAGACCTTTCTGTCTGTCTCTCTCTCTCACTGTCCACTCTGCCTGTCAAAAAATTAAAAAAAAAAAAAAAAAAAGTATCATCACACTGGAAAGCATCAAGAGAAATTTCCCTTTTTTAAAAAATTTATTTATTTATTTGAATGTTTCAGAGAAGCATCTGATTGCTGGCTGGTTTACTGCTGGCTGGTTCACTCTCCAAATGGCCACAACAGCCAGAGCTGGGCCAATCTGAGGCCAGGAGCTTCTTCTGGGTCTCCCCAATGGGTGCAGGGGCCCAAGGAGTTGGGCCATCTTCCACTGCTTTCCCAGGCCATAGCAGAGAACTGGATTGGAAGTAGATCAGCTAGGACTTGAAGCCACACCCATATGAGATGCCGCACTGTGGGCGGCAGCTTTACCTGCTACACCACAATGCCGGCCCCAATAAAGAGAAGTTATTCCCGGAAACAGTTGTTAGGGAAGTATGGAGTTACTCTGCAACCTGAAATTAATAAGCTCTTTTTTTTCTTTCCTAGTTTTCCTACCATCTACTTCTCTCCAGCCAACAAGAAGCTAAGTCCAAAGAAATATGAAGTAAGTGCATCCGCTCATCTTTCCACAAACATATAGAGACATAAACACATACACACTTGTATATATCCAGTGCTTCTATTTTGTCAATTTAATATGAAATTCTGCTGTTACGGTAAATATATGTGGTTGCTTTTATAATCTCAGAAGCCTCCTATTGGGGGAAAAAAAATCCAGGATTTTTCTTAAGAAAAATTTTCAGCGTAACTTTTTATTTTTTAGGGTGGCCGTGAATTAAGTGATTTTATTAGCTATCTACAGCGAGAGGCTACAAATCCCCCTATAATTCAAGATGAAAAACCCAAGAAGAAGAAGAAGGCACAGGAAGATCTCTAAAGCAGCAGCCAAATACACCACTTTGTAAAAGGACTCTTTACCAGACATGGGGAAATTATTGGGGAGGACTGGGACCCATCTGGGATTATTACCTCTCGGAGCTGAGAGGACAGAATGGATGTAATCTGAATCCTATTCAATTTTCTCTAAACTGTTTCTTAGCTGCACTGTTTATGAAAATACCAGGACCAGTTCATGTTTGTGGTTTTGGGGAAAATTAATTTGTGTTGGGGAGAATGTTGTGGGGGTGGGGGGAATTGAGTTGGGGGGTTATTTTCTAATTTTTTTTGTACATTTGGAACAGTGACAATAAATAAGCCCCCTTTAAATTGTCATTTTTTTTCTCCCGTGGAATGGGAAACCAAAGGTTCTCTGTTCAATAGGACTTTACAGTGCTTAAAATGTTCTGTGATCAGCACTGTTAAGTATGTATGAAAGGTGGCTGGGAATGGCAGTTTTAATTTTCATTAATTCTAAAAGCCAAATACTAGCTACTGTAGTGGTCAACTGAGTCCAACTCACAAATCCTTTACAAACTTCCCCTTTCTTTGTAGCCTCACATTGTTGCCCATGTCCCCAGCCTGATGATTAAAACAGGTGAGGGGCCTTTGTGCTTGGGCTGTTTCTGGCCCTGCCAATGCCCTAAGGATGGGTTGTTGTTTATCCTTGCCATGCAGCTGTGCTTACTGCTTGCCTACACCTCCCAAAGACTGTTCTCTGCCCAGAAATGTCCTATGTGGGTGTGGCATCAAGTTGGGGTTCAGGAATTGCTGGGTGCAGCTCTCTTCCCCCAAAGCCTAAGGTGTGGCCCATTAACTTCCCTCTCTGGTAGAACCAGAGAAAAGCAGTTGGGAGTGAAGCCTGCACTTCCTTCTGCAACAGAAAGGGGTGAAAAGGGACAGGACTGGAGTGATCTTTAGTTCAAATGAATTGAACCATTTCCCACTTTGCGTAGCCAGATCAAAATTGTGTATACAGGATAACTCCAGATAGGAGCCCTACTTGGAAGTGATCCTATACACCCCTGTGTTCAGAAAAGAACTTTGTCCCTACTGTCTCCAGCTGTCAATTATAAGATGAATTTGGGCAAGACTAGCGCTATAACGCAGCACGTTAAGCCAAAGCCTGCAGTCCCCATATGGGCACCCATTCAAATCCTGGCTGCTGCACTTCTGATGCAGCTCCCTACAAATGTGCTTGGGAAAGCAGAAGATGGGTCAAGTCTTTGGGCACTTGCACCCATGTGGGAGACTGGGAATAAGTTCTTGGTTCCTGGCTTCGGCCTGCAACAGTTGTAGTCAATTGGGGAGTGAACCAATGGATGGAAGATTTTTCTGTCCCTCCTCTCCCTTCTCTGTTTCAAAAAAAATTTTTTAAATTAATTTGGAAGGGCTGTATAGCAAGATAGACATGATCATGTATATGCTTTTAAAAAGTAAATGTGTAAGCCATAGTCTTAGAGATTCTAACTCCTAACACCTAGGTTGGGGTATGGGGATCTAGTTTTTATTTTTCAATTATTTAGTTGAGGGGCAGAAAGAGAGCGAGTTCCCGTCTTCTGATTACTCGTCAAATGCCTGCAACAGCTGGGGCTGGGGCCAGAGCTGGGAGCCAGGAACTCAGTTTAGTTCTCCCTCATGGGTGGCAGGAACCCATGCAATTGACTAGTTATTGCTACTTCCCATGGTCTGTTAGGTGCCAGGGATTGAACCCAGTTTCTTTGATAGGGGATATGGGCATCCTAACTGCTAGGTCAAACACCTGCCCCCAGATCTGAGTTTTTAGCCCAGAAGCATTTCAGTGTACAGCTATGGGTAAGACCACCGACTTGCAGAGTTTAAGGAAGACAAAAGACACAGGAACAGTTTTACTGTTTTAATCATGTTGTAAAAATTCACAATCAGTACATGTATAACACCCAAGCCCTTTCCCATTATATCCAGGTGTGCTATAAGCTGCTTTAACTCTGTTACCGAAAGTTCTCATTGCTTCCTTAGGGAGGCTACCAGGCTAAATTCCCTTTAGTTTGTCTAATATCCTCAGAGTATCTTGTCCTGGAAATAATGTCATTTCTCAGAATTTGAAAACACTAAGGTGAAAAAGCCACGGTTCTGCTACCTCCCCTAGTCTCCTGGGCAGAGCTGTGGAGCCTTGGCCCTGTGCCCAACTTAAAACGGCAATGATCAAAAACCTGTAAAACCCAAGCAGCTCCCTGCGTGCACCATGAATTCCTAAGGAAAGCATACAGTTAACTGGTTGATAGCTGCTTTGTTCATATCTCACCGGGCAGAGGGTCAAGAGCCCTCATGACAGCTTCAGCTGCCCCCGTACTTCTCCTCAAACTCCAAGATGAGGCCTTTAATGTGGGACAGTTTCTGATGCAGGTACTCACAGCGGCGCTTTTCTTCCCGGTAACCTGGGTACCGCTGAGGAGAAAGGGTATCCATGTTAGGACCTAAAATCGTCATGTCTGCCTTCCTGCTTCCATTCCCACACCTTGTCTTACCTTCCTGAACTTTTTATACTCCTGGACTATCTTTTCTTCTAATACCTGAAACAGAAAATACTAGTGCTGAGCTCCACATTGAGAAATAAGGGAAATTAACACCCATGTGACAGACTTCTCTGTCAAAACAAGTTTACTTGTCACTTTGCCTAGTTGCTGAACAAACACAGCTTAAGTTAGCAAGAAGTTTAGTGGCCAGTGGGGCTGGAAAACCAGCCTGGGTCCAGTCCTTACCTTGTATTCCGGAGATCCTCGCTGAACTCTCTTGATCTCTGCTCCCAGCTCTATGAACCGCTGGCTTGCAGCCCCAACACGGGCATGCAGGGTGCGGTATTCAGCATAATCTGTCTCAAAGTCCTGCTCATAGGCCTGTTGCTGCTCTACGCTGTGGATGGCCTTGTATTGCCTGCCAGGAGCACACAGTTGTCACCTTCATTTTCACTGCCCCCCAAAACTCCCAGCTTCCAGGAAGTTAAAATCTGCACGAAGCTTGATGAAATTGGAAATGGCAGTGAACTCACAGGAGGTAATCCGGTACCTCTTCAGGACTTGGGGATTCAGAGTCTAGGAAGCAAGCAAGCAAACACAAGTGGTAATAGGGCTCTTCTCCACCGTGGCATTTTTACCCTCCTCTCACTAACTCACCTGCTTGAACAGAGGGACTGGGGTCCCTGTCTTCATCTCCTTCCTCCCAGTCTTCTCCCTCTTGTAAGTCCTGACTGGGCATCTCTTGTGGGGGACTTGGAGCTAGAGGTAGAGCTCTGAGTCTCTTCTCTTCTAGTCCTATTGTGGCTGTAGATGCTGAACGTTTCTATTAAGGAAAATACCTGTGTGACATAAGCAGTCCAGGAGCTTCCCATCTTGTCTTTCAAAAAGTCCTCCCATTTGGGGCCAGTGTAGGGTGCAGTATGTTAAGCTACAACCTGTGATGCTGTGATCCCATATGGGCACCAGTTCAAGTCCTGGCTGCTCCACTTCCAATCCAGCTCTCTGCTAATGTGCCTGGGAAAGCAGCTGAAGATGGCCCAAGTGCTTGGGCCCCTGCCACTCATGCGGGAGACCTGGGTGGAGTTCCAGGCTCCTGGCTTTGGCCTGACCCAACCCTGGCCATTGCAGCCATTTAGGGAATGAACCAGTGGATGGAAGATCTTTCTCTGTCTCTTCCTCTCTCTCTGTAATTCTTCCTTTCAGATAAATAAACCTTAAAAAAAAAAGTCTTCCTATTTCATGAGCTTCCAGTTTTAACATTAGCCTGACTGAAAGTGCTCCCGAAAAGCCCTTACCCTGTCCAGGTGTTTCTGTTTGGCAGAGGAAAGCTGTGCCTGATCAGGCTCTCTGTTTCGCAGATGGGTCTGGTTCCTAGGACGTTTGAAGAGGGGATAAGAGCAGGGTACCAGGTGAGACCAGATCTTTTATCGCTGCGTTATAAGTGGCGATTAGACAGGTGAGCCATGCCAGGGCTCATGAGTCCCACCCTGTCCCAAGTACCTCACTTCCCACTGTGCTGTGTGCTCCCGCGAAGATCCTGGGAGTGACTGTCCTTGGTGGCTTGCCAGTGGATCTGGCACCTGGCAGGGAAAGTGGCAGAAGCATTTACTCCCTGGGCTTAGGGCCGGGCCCCACCTTCTCACAGCTCCCTGCCGTTTCTGGCCACACCTCCTCCAGTGCCACCTGTGACTGTGATACTGCATCTGCCGCAGAAGAGTCTGCTCTGTTGGGCCAGTGCTCGGGATCTCCAGCATCTTCTGTCAGGTTGTGTCCCTGAATTAACCACGGGGCTGGGACGGAGTCCATGGCTGCCCAGATAGTGAGGCGCTCCCTGAGGGGGCCCAGGCAGTGGAGACGGTTTGGCCCAGATCTGGGAAGGAGTGGTGGAAAACACCAGTAGGGTGGAGAACAACTAAGCACCTCTTCACATTCCCCTCCCCCGCTTCCTGCAAACCCTTTCTTACCTGCTACCTGTTTGCTCTTACCTGCCTAAGCTCTGGCACACAAGGTCCATGCCGCCGCTGCTGCCCTCCTGACCACACTGAGACACTATGAAGGAGAAGAGGCAGGACCAGCCAGGGCCTGGGAACCTCAAATACTGGGGGATAGAAGGAGACAGCCCCATGAGGTCAGCCAGTCCCTCTCCTGCCAACGCCACTCCTTCCTGAGCCAGCAGAAGACAAGGGAGCCCCACGGGGCTCGTTAGCACAGCAGGTGCAGCTGGGCCTGGGTGTCCCAGGAGGCTGAGACGGCACAGTGCCCTCAACCACAGTCTCCTGGGACCACAGTCCCAGCGGCCCCCTCGCCCCTTTGGGGGTTCTGTTCTCGGAACTTCCTCAGACCGTCACCGCTAGCAGCCTCCAGCCCTGACCGCATCTTCCCGGGGCGGGTGGTTGTGCTCCCTCACCCCCAACTCGCTCACACACACGAGCCTGCACTTACTCCGCGGTGGCCTTGGAAAGCGATCAGCGGGTGAACCTGCGGGGGAGAGCACACACTGGAGCTG